ATTTATCCTGCTTGGTATCCTTTAAGTTTCCTGGATATGTGGTTTGATGTCTGTCATTAATATTGGAAAGTTCTTGGCCCTTATTGCTTCAGTGTTTTTTTCTGTTCTATTCTCTTGCTTCTCCTTCTGGTTCTCCAATTATACATATGTTGTACCTTTTGCAACTGTCTCACAGTTCTTTGATGATGTATTCTGTTTTTTTTCCATTTTTGCATTTCAGTTTAGAAAATTTATACCAACCCATCTTCAAGCTCACTGATTCTTTCCTCAGCCATGTCAAGTCTACTGATGAACGTGTCAAAAAGTATTCATAATTTCCATTATGGTGTTTTTGGTGTATAGACGTTCCTTTTGATTCACAGAATTTCCATCTCTCTGCTTATATTGCCCATTTGTTCTTGCATATTGTGTATTTTTTTCTTTAGAGCCCATAACATTTTTAATCCTATTTATTTTAAATTCCCTATCTGATAATTCCAATATCTGTGTCATATTGGAGTCTGGTTCTGATGATTGTTTTGTTTCTTCAGACTGTTTTCTTACTTTTTGTCATGCCTCTAATTTTTGGTTTATATCTGGACATGTTATATCAGGTAACAGAAAGTGAGATANCATGCCTCTAATTTTTGGTTTATATCTGGACATGTTATATCAGGTAACAGAAAGTGAGATAAACAGATCTTTAGAATGATGATTTATGTTAATTTGACAAGGAGTTGAGCTATATTTAATGTTTGCTGCAGATAAAAGTGCCAGAGTCTTCAAATCCTTCTTGTGTCTCTATTCCCATTGTTGCCAATTTCCCCACACTGTTTCCTGCTCAGCTCCAACTGTTATATAACCATGGGGACCTTGGCCAGAGCTGAGCAGAGCCAGGGCTCTCTGAGATTGTGGAGGGAACACCTGATGTGCTGAGCATATGGTAATCCCGGCTNTATTATTATTACCTTAAACAAAGAGTAGTTATCTTTTACAAAGATTAACAGTAAGAAAAATTAATATTTTTATTTTACCTTCATTTATTCTTTTTCTAATACTCTTCCTTTCTTTAGGTAGATCCAGGTTTCTGATTTATATCACTTTCCTTCTGGCTGAAGCAATTATTTTAAGATTTCTTGCAGAACAGACCTGCTAACAATAAATTCCCTCAGTTTTTGTTTATCCCCAAAATATTTATTTCTCTTTCACATTTGAAGGGTATTTTCACTGAATAATGAATTATAGGTTGATGTTCTTTCCCCCCCAACACTTTAAATATTTCGCTCCACTCTCTTCTTGCTTTCATGGTTTCTGATGAGAAGTCTACTCTAATTCTTAACATTGTTCTTCTCTGGGTAAGGTGTTTTTCCCACTCTGGCTTCTCTCAAAGTTTTCTCTTTATCTTTGGTTTTCTGTAGTTTGAATGTAATATGCCTAGGCGTGATTTGGGGACATTTATCCTGCTTGGTATCCTTTAAGTTTCCTGGATATGTGGTTTGATGTCTGTCATTAAT